ATATAATTATTACTAAAAATAAATAATTTAGAATAATTATATATAATTTAGATAATATTTAATAATAATAATTTAGAATAATTATATAGATAATAATAATTTAGAATAATTATATAAGCATTCTCTGTAATAAAGGTTTTGATTTGATCTGATACCTTGACATACATCCCTCTGAGTTTTAAAGGCCTAGTAAAGCAGTTTTATTTGGGCCAAAAAAACAATCTGGGAACCAATGCAACTTTTTAGGCATTAGAATTTTTAGTGTTTATTCTAGTCAGTAAACTGATTTCCAATTCTGCCCGAATTGGACTCTGTAAAACATTACCATATAAGTCAGGATATTTACCAAATTGGAAAACTGTGGTTATTTCCTTGCAGGGAAAAAATTAACCATCTTACTATCCAAAAGAGTTAAACCTCAGTGGAGGCCAGTATTGCAACTTGAATTATGGTAGGAAACCTCAATTTGGATAGCATCCAATTGGGGAGCCTGATCTTTAAGGGGCAACTCAAGCCCCTACCCTCCTGGCTTTCTGGAAAGGGCTAAAGCCCTGGCTCTGCCAGCTTGCGTGGGGCGATAAGAGTTCTAATCAATCCTGGAGGTGGCTGGTGCGCTGATGACACTCCTTGAGCTACTCGCCAATTCCATCAATTCTTGGAACTGATTTATTCTTTGTTTAGGACTGCTTTTATATTGTATTTTAATTGATTTTATCTTCTTTGTAAACTGCTCAGAGTTGCTTTTTAATGAGATGGGCAGTGACAAATTTGATACATACATACATACATACATACATACATACATACATGTATTTGTCTTTATCTAGCTCATTGTGAACTTACTACTGACTTTAGTTGTAATAATTTTATAGCTGGCTCAAATGAAAAGAAAAAAAAAGACCTGGTTGTTATCTGTGTATTTATGACAGCACACTTTAAAAACTCCTAGTGCTTTCATACAGATACGTTGTGGAATTTTTGCCAAGAAAGGAGCACAACGCTGAGGAGAAGTACCAGGTTTATTGCAAAGATCATTGGGTGCCTGCTTTCCAAGAAAGAGGGACCCCGAACAATAGAAAGGCAGTGATTCTTATACACTTTGGGGCTGAGAGGTGGGAAATCCTCGGGATCTGATTGGCGGGCAAGTTTGGGTAGGTGTTCAACAGGGGACAAGTGTTCTTCTATGGTGAAACAAAAACCGCACTTTTGTAACAAGGCAGCCAAGACTCAAGGAATCCATTGTCAAGGAGAATGGAAGGTTAAGAAAAGCAGGCTCTCGAGCTTAATAAGGATGGGATTCCTGCTGTTTCTTGCCTGGTCAACAGAGGCTTCCTCATTGAGGCTGCCCCCTGGACAAATCCTGAAGCAGACAGGTGATGGCCTTCATTCTTTTAGTGTGATAATGTTAAGAGGGCTATTTCAGCAGCGGAAACATGGTCGTTCTTGGGTCATGCAATTGTCTGGGACTGGCTGTGTTTTACATGTGCGGGGGGGGGGGGGGAAGAAACGGCACAGAGGAAAATGGGGGAAAGAGTTTGGTGCAGGAGAGGCAAGAGGAAGAGAGTTTCCAGCTTTATTTTATTATTTTTCCATCACAGATATATTGGAACACCTATGTTTCTATTTAAAATGGTGAAGAGGAACAATACTGATGCTTAATCATTACTGTGTTTCAGGGGAGAGTACATGTTGCAGTTCAAAGCTTCCTATAAAAAGAAAGCACTAAGCAGTCCAGTGATCAAGATGAATGTTTTGCATGACCCGGAGAAACCTGTAAATTTGAATATTAAATATGATAAGGATGCTATCTTTACAGCTGGAAACACTTTTCCTGGTGAGTGGTTAAGTGCTTTACCAGTTTTGATTTTCTAATGATGACCATTGGAAAGTTGGAATGCTTTTTCTTGTCTTCTATTTCTTACCTATTTTTCAACAGAATATTTTCAGCCCTATTTTAAAAGAAGATGGCTTGCCCCCTCTCTGTTATTGTAGGTTGTAAAACGGCTATTTCTGTATAGCTTAACAGCAATCTGCTGATGTCTTAGTGCTAAATGCATTTACATTGAGGTGTCATATGAATAGATCTGTACTTAGGCTGCTTAAAACCTTTTTTCTACTCTACAGGACAACCAAAGTATATTGAGTATGATAGAAAGATTTAGAGGAAGGCCTATGGAAAGAAGTGAGAATTTTCAAGACCTACATTGAAGCGGTGCTAACAGCAATTATAATCCTATACCAAATCCAAGGCACCAAACTATGAAAAGAAGTTATCTGTAGTACTGTTTTCCCACTTGTTACTGGACTGGCAGAATACAAACTATTCTCCTATCTATGGGAGTTGGGGAATGTAACTAAATATTCTGTTCTTGTTTAATGTCACCCTTCCAAAGTTGAGATTTGGCCTTTTTCTACCATAAAGACAATTATTACCTTTTGGGAGTAACTTTCTATTAATCTCAGAATATTTTAATGTTCCAAGATAGCTGTTTAGCAGTTCAGTTGTTTCTGATTTGATTCTGTAGTCATTCTTCAGTGTTCTTAGTCTCCAAACCAAAGGAACTCGTGCTTCCAGCTGGTGGCCCAGTTTACAACTAGCCTAGTAACAAAGCCCAAATGTTATGATCACATCCTTTGTAGAGAACCACAAAGGTGACGTTGGAGAAACTTCAGCAGATAGTTACAAAAACATGTATAGAAACATGCTTTAAGCCCAGGAAACAAAGAAAACATTACATAGAAACTCAGACTAGCCCTGGCCTGACTCCCAGGGGTATAAGAGGGAAGGAGGAGAAAACGCAGACAGGCTTTCAAGATTTTGTTACTATAGCCTACATCAATAAAGTATAGTTCCAGTCAAACTTGTGGAGTCAGTTTCATGGTTTGGCTTATGTCAAAGGGCTGATGTCAATCTTGAAAGCCTTGCTGTATTTTCTTTTCTTTTCCTCTTATACTGCAGAGTATCTGCCTCACCATTCTAGGCCACAGCAGTCTTGGATGCTTTGGCCCACGATGCAATGTCATTAAATGTCTGTGAATATGGTGATGCATTTTTATGGAACATATATCACTATAGTTTGCTTATTAGTTCCCTACATTTTTTGACATGTATTCTTGTCTAGTAGTATTTTACTTCAAAGTTTTAAGTTGGAATTTAAGATTGGCAACATGTGGGAAAAACAGTTCTTCTTCCTCACACAGATTTCCACGTTAGTATTATTTCTGAAGATGGCAACAAAATTAAAAATATAAATCCAGGAAGAATTTGTATGAAAATCTGGGAAGGACACAGTGGTGGAACTTTATCACAAAATGTAAGTAAGAGAAAGCAACAATATATGCAACAGGAGGACAAATACTTTACACATGGATGCATCATGTGAATTTATATTATATCCTTTTTTTACTAAAAAACCCCCCCAATTTGTAATGCTTTGAACAATTCTCCATGAAACAGCTTACCTCATGGTAATCATATTATTTGAAACCATTTTACAGGCAATCATAATATATACAGGAACCCTTAGCTATAAGCATACTGTTGAATAACTATATGAAACTACTGAAAGGTCATCTTAAATATGAACATCCGTCAATTTATGGATAACTGTGTGTTATCTTTTCATTGTGCCAGATGAGTCTATGTTTCATATTAGTGCCTTGTTCAATAGTGGATGAGGTTCCATAAATTGAGATTCAGTATCAGAATGAAGATCTTGACAAGCGTTCTTCATTCTACAGGAAATCACACTCTAAAGATATTTTGTTTGAGCATTAGTACAAATTGCCTCAGTGATTTAGAGAACAATTCCTCATCTTAAACTGGTGTAATAATCTATAATTTTATTTGGACAAAGATAGCTTTGCTCTTGTAATCTCCTATTTGTACTAAAGCAGTGTATTTTTTATTTGATTGTCTTTAAAAATGATCTGGGAACTTCTGTTGGTTGAAAATAGACAGGTATGATTTTTGCTGTATGCATTGGTTTCAGTATCTTTAAAGTCCAGAGAGGTTGAATATGAGATCACATGAAGATCACATCATTATTATCTACTTGGATCATAAGATAATTTTATAAGAGATCTTGAGTTTGAAAGATAACACTTTCCAGTATGAAAGTCCAGTTATGGAGTGTATACAACAGAGAAATTTAACTAGCATCCATACTATATGCCCATTAATTTTAATGGTTGCATGGATTTGTTTTGTATTAATTTACTTTCCATTTTCTTTAACCTTAAATATCAACACAATTAACACTGGAATTTGGTCTTTTAAGAGAGTCCATTAAATTGATTTTGGCTAAAAAGTAAAAAACAAACAATGAGCTTCATTTATATTGTGTACCCTTTTTGGTTCTTAGTTAAAGCAGTGTCTTTCTATATCCTTTGGTTTTATTTGTTTAGATTCTCAAAGATTCAAAGTAACTGAATTTAATAAAATTACTTTTTAAATGCTTACATATATTATGAGGCTCTTTTTTTTTTTTAGGTTACAACGTTTGAATGTTCCAAAACAAACAATGACAAGGATGAGGGCTTTATTTACTTCAGGTTAATGAATAATGTGTTTTAATTGTTCTCATATAATGATGATTAAGAAAAAAATATAAAGGGTAAAATAATCAACTTTGTTTTTAAATGTGGTTTGATTTGATAGTGATCAAATTTGATTGTTCTACTATTTTAACAAGATTGAAATTCTTATTGGAGGTATGATTTTTTTTTACCAAGGTATATGCTAAATACCTGTGTCTAGAGTAATGTTTCTGTAACTGAGAATATACATGCAAAAATATAAATTTGTATGGGACTAATTAGGTAAATTAAAGCATATAGAATGAACATAATAGAAAGTTTAAGGAACTGAAAATTGACATTTTCAGGAATGCAGCATAGCAAGTATTACAGACTTCAAATATTAGAATTCAATTTATTTATTTTTAATCAGTTTGAGTATTTCCTATTTTCAGACTGAATAAGATACATAATGAAAAAAACATGTTAACTTGGAAAAACTGGTTTTGGTTCATTCATTTCAAAGAACACCATAGCATTTTACTTTATTTAACAGAAAAAAACATTTGAGAATTTAAGTATTGTAAATTTTAAAGAATTACTAACATTAGTATTTAAATTTAGGAATAAAATAGTTCCAGAAAAAGTGGGCACATACAGCATCCAGTTTGCATTTGCAATTGACAACACACATTTTCTTAACAGTGAACAGGTGAGCTTTTGAAATAATACGTAAAAATCTGTTTTACATGTTTAAAATGATATTTTATTATTTCTCCAGTAAGATTTTGCCCAGTTACAAGTTTTGTATTGATTTTTATGGCCTGCACAAACAAGTCTGATCTTCATTAGATTCAGAGATTAAAAAAATGTTTATCAGAAGGGCCATCTATTCTCATACCAATCAGTTGATATCTTTTTGGTATCAATTTGGTATCAAAAAGTCCAGGTATCCTGGACTTCTTGGTCCAGGATATGGTTAAAAATCAAAGACCCCCAACTTTATACAGCTTAACAAGGCTGCTAGGCTTGAATTGTCAGAAGTCTCTCAGACATCCAGCATGGTACCACCTGATTCAAATTTTTATCACAAACTATAATGAAGCCATACAAAACTGTTGATTGTCAGTGACATGATGCAGTTCCTTCTTACATCCATAACAGTTTAAACCTGTTGCTTCCCCCGCCCCCCACTTCCCAATCTGCACTACATGGTATTAAAACTGAGAGGTTGTCATTTGTTAACATAATTGACATCTTTGCCCTGAAAACTACTGGCTCTTGGCTTAACACAGTTGAGGCAAAGCTACTTATGCTTCAACTGGAACTATCTATCCGATTGGAAGATGAGATTTCCTTTCCCACACCATGATTGGGGTGTGTGTGTGGGGGGGAAGTATTAGAAGCTGTTGAAAACAAATTGATGGAATATAAAAATGGCTGAAGACTTTTCTGATGTGGATGGCTTTAACTATTAGTTGTTCCCAATCAAGTTATGAGGGAAGGGGCCTACTCTGCTGCTTAGTGGATTTTAATTCTTTTTATAATGCCTAAATAGGGGTTTTCCTTTCTTTTTTCCCGTCCCCTTATATCTTCTCACTTCATCTCTATCCATCCTCTCGGTGCCCCTATCCCTTCCCCCATTTCTATCCTGAGTTTTTGTCCTCATTGATGATGGTGTGTATTTGTTACATTTGTTGCTGTTTCTGCTGGAAGGAGGGAATGGGATCCATGCATTTGTAACTGTGTGTTTGTGTTAGAGAATATTTGCTCTGTTAATTTTATAAATGAGGTCTTTTGTTTTACGGATAATTAATTTTAATCAGTAATTATTAATTCAGCTATTTTTTCCTCTTGGCCCTGTCCTTTATTGGAGCACCTGTGGCTTCTAGCAAATATGTTTCACATGCATTCTGGGACAAAGGATCAGAACTTGTTTCAGCTGAAGTTGGCAAATTTAGGCTAGCAAGGCAAAGAAGCTAGGAATTTCATCCATTCTTCTATAGCTTGATGTGGATATAGGAGGTACTGTCCTCCTGTTTCCAACATTATCAGTTTATATTATCAGAGGGCACAACTGTATAAGTGAATAGGGAAAATAGAAATCTCTATGAGATTCCATACATAAATTCAGTGTCTCTCCTTGTCTATTCATTGATAGTTTTCAAGTAACACAGAAAGTAATAAATACTTAGCTATCCTGGGCATGTTTCTAATCCATCTCTACTGTATGAAACAGTGGGTAATTGCTGATAACTTTCTCAAAAAAATATTTGAAAGAGGGAGTCAGTTTATGTTGCTTTTGTGTAGTCAGTGATAAAGCTTAAAGGGATGAGCTGCTCAACCGTGATACTATTTTCTGTGATATGTGTTTTGTAATTTTAAAAAAGCTGCAAAGAATCAAAACACAAATTCAAACAAAATTATTAAGCTTTTTAAAGCAATTATTCTAAAACAGATTAGAGTGTATTTTTAAGTGAAACAATGAACAGCACAACTTCAACAGCAGTAAAATAGAATTGTAACAATTATAAAATTGCCATGCCACCTTTAACCAAAATTAGATTAAAATTTAAAAGTTTAAATGATCCACTTCATTCATATTGTTGCAGCATGATTTTCTCTTCTGCAAGGACAAGAAATTCAGTGATACTGGTGTAAGTAAAAGATTGCCAGTTGCTTCATGGGCCTAGGCTAGAAAGGAGTGAAATATGACAAGAATGTGCATGGATTAGTCTTCTGCAGTTAAGGCTAATGCTGTTGATAATTTTTCATATTGTACATTAAGTTTCTATATGTTGTGTTTTTCCTAAAGATTATAATTGAAGTGGTGCCGAATGAGCCAGCACAGTTGGTGCCACAAATTGTGCCAGATACTCCTGCTGTTTCTAATGTTTGGGCTGTTGACAGTCGGACCCTTGTCAAGGACTTGACTTTCATTATAACGGTAATTAAATTGAATTGTGGTTTAAAATTGGGTTATATACATACATACATACATACATACATACATACATACACACATTAGAATAATAGGCAAGGTCTGCATCAGATTCAGAAAAATCCAAAATCAAATCAGGTCAGTTTGTAAAGGTTTACTCTTTAAGCAAGTCTTTTTGAACCAAACTGGGATTTCCCAAAACTTCATGACCGCTATGACATTTCAAGGAGCTTTTTATAGCTATTTTACATGGCTATAAAAAGATTGCTGTGTTGCCTTTGCAGTCCCATATAGAGAAAATAACAGGATAGAGAGAAAGAAAAAGAACCCACTTTTTTTTAGCTCATCTCATTTAAACAAACATTCTTTGAAGGGCTTTGTTGGAATGAGAGTGTTCTTATCAAGAATTAATTTCTAATTTTCAGAATTCCCAGTGAGGCCATGGCAAGCTAGATGTCCCTGTCTGAGCAGGAAGGTGTTTATGGCAGAGATTGTAGTCAGATGCTGGATTGTGGCCAGTGATATCTCTCTGGAGAAAGGAGAGATCATGAGATTGCCCATGTGCACTCCAGACAGCCGCTCCTCATGAGTAGACTGCAGGAACCAAGGTTTTTGCAGTTGGCTTATGAATCGAGCAGCTGGGAGTCGAGGGATTCCATCTAAGCTCATAGTTGTTACAGAGCAGCCTTTATGGACAAAAAGCTCAATGAGCCTCGTTTCTTAATCACCTTTGGAATTATTTTTTACTGCTTTTGAAATATTAAGATCTTTTGGAACAGCAGGTTTTTATTGCATTCACTGAGTAAGTTTCCTTCTCCATCACAAAAGAAATTAAAATATAAGTTTAGAAAACGGACTTAGAAAAAATATTACTTTTATAATAAATGTTATAATAAACAGCAAAAGGGTGCTTAGAGTGTTGATTTTGGAAAGTTAAAACTTGACTAAGGGTCTCAATGGATTTGAAATAAGAATTTTAAATTAATTATAAGAATCGTCCTCTTGGGAAACTGTTTTGGTTTTTTGGGGGGAAAAAACATGATAAGATGGGACTTTGAATTTTGGACACTAGAAGGAACTAGAAGGAACTAAATATTACAATTCAAGGAGAAGAATACTGATTTAACACCCTAGTACAGAATGGTGCAAAACACTTTAACAGTGATCTGGAGGGTGAGTCATGGCAACTGGACTTCTTTTCTTTTGGTTTGATACGTTCCGCTGCTTGTCGAAGCAGCTTCTTCAGTCTAGAGAGTTGGTATGGGGGGACCCCATAAATGTCTTGCAGGGTGCCATGACTCAACCTCCAGATAATTCCATCTGGATGACTGAGAATCTTCATCAACTTTAACAGTGAATATGTTTGTGGAGATTTGTGAACTATGTGTTGGAAGAAAAAGTTATCTTACCAAGTCCGTTTCTGAGCCGGGAGTAAAGACACTGACGAATTGCATGAAGTTAGGAGATTTATTCTTCCCCCAAGTGCAGAAGCAATGACAGCAAGTAGTTAGGTGGGCGGCTGCACTGGGCCCCCTCCCCACAGTACATTATATACCTTCTGTTACATTCAAACTCACGTTAAGATGTCATGACTTTCTGATCCAATCAAAGCAAGTTACCTTGATCCATACTCCTCCCCTTACCCAGGACCCCTTTCTCTGATGCTGAATAAGGTTCTTCTTTTCTGTATGTAAACTAATTTCTATCACCTTGATTGTTTACAGCCATATGTAAAGTATCCTTTATCGCTCTGCTTGTTCACTGAGTGCTGTCCTGACCTACATCCCTAAGAAG